ATCGTGGGGACGAGACCGCGCGCCCGCCCCAGTCCTAACGCCGACCCGAGACCCCCGGGGGGTCTTTAAGGCCACGCGACCAGCGGGATGGGGTGGGAGGACACATAGCACCCGCTCCCTCGGCCAGCTGCTGCTGGGAGCACGTCCCACGCCCCCTGGGACCGGGCGTCCCGGGTGGATTGAGGCCCTAAGGGGTGCGCGGTTGGGCCGTGCGTCTCAGCTGTGTTTACGCCCAGCGGCTCCCGCACTTGTGAAACACCTTCGCTGGGCTTGCTGAGAACTGGATTCCAGGGACGCTGCGTCTGCCTCTCTGCGTGTGTGTGTGTGTGTGTGTGTGTGTGTCTGTTTGTGTTTCTGTGTGTGTTGAGCTACCTAGTGGGAACTTCTAAGGAAGGCTATGAAACTCTGTGATCAACGTTATCTATCCCTAAATGGACACAGCCTGGTATCTGCGCACCCACTCTGGCTGCGATGAAATTGAGGTTCCCTGAATTTTTGCTGTGCGAGGAGCTGCAGAGGGGGGCAGGAGGGACCGGGAGCCATCCCTCAGTCTTCACCCAGCCCGACCCCCGGGGATAAAGGTGACGTTCTCCGAGGTCTCGAGAGTCCCGCTGCTTCTCCTTCAACAGCCCAAGCAGCCTGAGGCTGAGCGGGCAGGCGGCCTGGCGGCCCCTTGAGTGATGGTTCCGGGCAAAGGGCCGTCGCCTGTGCCGTCTCCCCCGCTCCTTTGGGCTTTCTCACGCTCCCCCCTCCTCCTTTCCCCTCAAAGGCCAGGAAATCACAATGTGTTAATGTCACAGAAAGACAATCCGCCCAGTGGTGGGGGTAGGGGTGCCTGAGCCCCGGCGGTGGGAAGGGGAAGGAAAGGCAGTGCTAGAGATGTAATAAAACGCCGTTTGGTTTTGCTTTCAGTCGGGGCTGTCCGAGGGCAAGGGAAAGACGAGTCAAAGGTGGAAGATGACCCGAAGGGTAAGGAGGAGAGTTTCTCGCTGGAGAGCGATGTGGACTACAGCTCGGATGACAATCTGACGGGCCAGGCGGCTCACAAGGAGGAAGACCCCAGCCACGCGCTGGAGGAGACCCCGCCGAACGGCAGCGCGACAGGCAGCACGACGTCCACCGGAAAGAACCGGAGGCGGCGGACTGCCTTTACCAGCGAGCAGCTGCTGGAGCTGGAGAAGGAGTTCCACTGCAAAAAGTACCTTTCCCTGACCGAGCGCTCGCAGATAGCCCACGCCCTCAAACTCAGCGAGGTGCAGGTGAAAATCTGGTTCCAGAACCGCCGCGCCAAGTGGAAACGCGTGAAGGCGGGCAATGCCAACTCCAAGACAGGGGAGCCCTCCCGGAACCCCAAGATCGTGGTCCCCATCCCCGTGCATGTCAGCAGATTCGCCATCAGAAGTCAGCATCAGCAGCTGGAACAGGCCCGGCCCTGAGGGCCCAGCAAGGGCGGGCCTGGCCAGGCCCCCACCGTGGAGAAGCCCCAGCCCCGAGGGAACCCGTGGCGGACTTCTAGGTTTGAAGCAGAACTCAGCACATTCCAAAGGTGGACAAACTAGGCGAGTTGAGAGTATATCCATAAAACAGGCTTAAAGACTGCTGTTGAAGGGGCTACAGCCATGCCTGAAGATACACTAAATATTTATTATTCTATCCTACTTTGTATATAAGCTATATACACTGGATCTCAGCTGCAGTATTTTGAAAGTTAGAGGACCAAGTTACCTAGTCAGATTCTCCACTTACATTCAGAAGAAAACAAAACCTGCGTTGTACCCTGCCGAGCTAGCAGCCACTACCTTTCCATACTTTTCCAAAGGTAAACATGAAACACAGAACAAACACTGGGGTTTACACTTCACTTTGGTTTCTGTTTTTGGCTTTTTGAGTTGACTGCAGAGCAGATGTGGTTGGGCAGCCTGGAAATTTACTTTGCTTTGCTTTTGCCTGGCTTTCTTTCCTGGGCTGGCCCATCCTACCTGAGGCACGTCTCCATTGTGTTTAATTTATTTCAATGTAGCTTATTTTCTTATAAGTTATGGCATTTAAACAATCTCAGTCTTGTGAATAATAAAAAGGAAAGAAGAAAAAAAAAAGATCAGTCCCCTTTGGGCCTCCTAGATGCGTCCAGAATTTCTTCCCAGCGCTGTAGTGGGGTGTGGCCAGGCTCCGGTCTGGGGCAGCCCCAGCCATAGTCCAGCCGACCTCGGGACAAGGCACTTAGGCAGGTTTTGAATTGGAGAGCAAGAGCGCCAGTGAGGCCATTAATGTAAGAGCACCTAGGTTTCCTCTGGGGACTCCAGCACGTCCCCCTTTTGCACAGCAAGGGAGCTGGCACCCTTGGGCCAGAGGAGAGGGCGGCGGGAGGGAAGGTGAGCTCCGCCTGCACTCCCAGTACTCCAGGTGGACTTCAGCCAGGGAAGGAAGGCTTTTCCTCATCCACAGCTCCAACCCGAAAAGGCAGCGTAGCTCGCTCCCCCCGCAGGACCAAGGGTCCATAAATCAGGCTCGGGCGTTATCTTCCAACAGGCTCAGGAACCCGGCCAGCGAGGAGGCCGGAAGGCGGGGACTTGCTGCGGGCTCCTGCTGGAGGGGTCGGGGGCGGGCCCAGACCACAGCCCACCCTGAGGGCTCGGGGTGAGGCCGCAGGGCCGGGAGCTGGGCGCTTCCCACCTTCGTGGGCGCTTCCCACCTTCGTGGGCGCGCAGGGGGCGTACCCGACCCCAAGCCCATCCTCCCCGCGGTGCCCTACGCCCCTAGTCCCGGGAGCTGCGACCAGCCCGGCGCGCATGGGGTGTCCCGGAATCGTGAAGCTCGCGAGTGACGGTGACCCGGGTGCCAGAACCCCTCGGACCACAAACCAGCAGCCCTAGGAGCAAGAGAAGCCGCTGGCGTCGACCACAAACCAGCAGCCCCAGGAGCAAGAGAAGCCGGTGGCGTCGCCGACTGAGCCTTGCAAGTAGACAGGAGGTCTGGGAGCTGGCTACAGAGCACCAGCGAGGTGTTAGCTGCGGGTCTCAGCCCAAGGATGGGCACGCGGCGCTGTGGGTCCAAGACAATATCGAATACCTGATTCACACGGCTTACAGCCTCGCACCTCCCGACTGCCGAGAGGCCTGGGAACGGAGGCCTGAGCCCCGACTTCAAGGGCAGGGGAAGACCCGGAGCACCGTCCGAGTCACCAATATCCGCCGCCTTCCAAACACATTTCTGGTAGCGGAAAATAGCACGGCCTTGGTTGTTTTTTTGTGTGGTTTTTTTTTTAACAATAAAATGGAGTGGCCGGTCCTCCGTGGGCTTCAGCCTGTTCTGTAAGCAGGTTCTGCGGAGAGTTGCTGCGGCTCCTTGCTGTCCCCAACACGCGCACCAAAGCCTGGGCCGCAAGGCGTCACCGCTCCCTGCAGATACCGGCCCCTATAGTCCGCAGGAGCCCTCTGTTCCTGGCAGGTCACCCCCGTACCTCGGCGCTCAAGACCTGCAGGGACGCTGTCCCCTCCTCTTCCCATCTGGCCCAGTCCTTGGGCTGCAGATTCACCCCCCGTTGGGACTGTGGCTATGGGCACAGAGTCCAGCCTGAGGACAAGGAGGGCCTCTGCCTCTAGTGGCGCTGCAGTCTGGGAGAGGCTCAGCGCTGGGCGTACTAGGGTGACCCCCACGCGCCCTTCCACCGCCACGGGTGTGATTCCTGCTGCCTGCTCCCAAAACCCAGGATGAAGACGGGCAGCACAGGTGGCCGAAGCCTTAGTTGCACCAGACCGGGGATGGAGGGGACAGCCAAGCCCCCTAGGATCTGGCGGCCACCTTCGGGAGGTCCACTTCCGGGTCCCCGCTCCCAGCCCTCCCAGCCATGCGCCTGGCCCTTTGGAAACCCAGGAGGAGAGGGCCAGGGGGACAGCCGTCCAGCCCCCTGGGGAGAGGGCGCCGCAGCTCCCCACCTCCCTAACCCTTGAGCATCATGGCGCCCGCAGAGTCCAGGCCCAGGAGACAGGCCGAGGGGAGGAAGATAAACAAGCCGCGCTTGATGGCCTCTGTCATCATGGCCGTCATCATGGCTTTCATTTGGCTGCCTAATGAGTCACATCACAGGCAGAGAGAAAAATTGTCAATCGCCCAGGCCCTAATGAATTTTTTTGCAAATTGTAATCAAGCCAGGCCGTCTCAGCTGGCTGATTAATGAGACCCACGAGGCTCGGCCAGCACCTCAGCTTTTTATTCCATCCCGTCCTCCCTGCACTAAATTAACAGCAACTTGTCTGAGCTTCAAATTAACTCCTGATGATTAATTCTGATGGGGGGGCCTGAAGAATAGCTTGTTCTAATAGGCTCTGGCCTGAGATGCAGTTGGAAATTAATACACTTCCCCTTTGGCTGCCGGCTTTAATCCAAGGTTGGGTTTTGACATCACTATATTTGTTGTTACAATAAATTCCACTTACATCTGCAGATCAAATAATTACACTCAGCACCTTGGACCTGAGCCCCCAGCCAAGCAGAGGGATGCCTGGGGTCTGCTTGCACCCCAGATCCACTCACCCAGGCACCAGTCCAATGGGGGCCACCGGAAGGGTCATCTGACCCCATTTGACCCCTGTCCTTGTTACCCTGGGAGGGGAACTCGGTGCCCCCATCCCTTTGGAAAGCCAAGCATACTGCAAACCCTCCTAGCCAGATGTTGGTCCCAGCTTCATGCAGCCTGTTCCCCAGCTCCTCACTGCAGGTGGCTGGACTCCCGGCCAAGAGAAGTGGTCTAGGCCACCTGGGCTGGGGCCTTCTCTGATACCACTCTGGGCTGGAATTCTCAAAACTGTGTAGGCTTGCCCTTCTGCTTCTGAACCCCACCTGCCTCTCTGAGTCTTCAGTTCACCCCAGGGTGGTGCCTTTCCAGCTAGAAGGGGATGAGGTGCAGGGCACAGCTGGAATTGGCCTCCAAGGTCATCCTGAGTCTGGCTGTGTGTACGTCTGGCCTTCCACGATCCCCTTTCTGTGGGGTCAGCACTTGCTCCCTTGTTTCTGTTTGTTTGGGCTTAATTGGCTTAATCATTTCAGCTATGTCTGGAAGCCTGCACAGGGCCTCTGAGGCTGCTCCCTCCAGCCCCCCCCCCACCTGGTGGCCTGGTTGGTGCAAAGCTGTGCGATGTCCTCTTGGTTCCCCAGCCTGGGGACTGACTGCTTGGCACAGAGTGAGCAGGTGATCACCTGGTCTGGTCCGCATCTCGGTGTTCCCTGTGGCTGTCCTGAGTGGCTGTAGGGTACACACTTGGAAGCTCTGGCAGCCAACCTGGCCTCTGTGCCCTCTCCTTTTACCTGCTGGATTTAGGCTACTGTGTGACCCAATGGCCTGCTCACCTCAGCTATGGCCATGGGGAAGAGGAAGCTCTGTGCACCTGACAGAGCCTCTTTCTGTCCCTGAGACCCCGGGCTTCTGCTCAGGTGTGCACAGCCAGAGCAAGTGCCCTGCCCTGACCTCAGGTACGCAGGGCTCCTTGTTTCCACAGCTCCAGCAGGTTCTGGGGTAGCCAGGCTTGGGGTTTGGGAGGGCCCTAGCCCAGGTTTACTGGGATGGCCTGGACAAAGGGAGTCGGCATTCATCTTCATTTCAGCCCCTTATGGTGTAAACAGGAGAAATATGATCCTGGTAACCTAACGTGAATGCAAATCACACCGTCAGAGTAATAAAGCACCTGAAACCCCGACACATAAAAGCAACACCATATGTAGGAAGACAACCTGCATAAATTATAAATTACATCATAAAAATTGATTGCCTATTTGAACAGTTTAGAAGGGGGAGACCTGAGCCGACTCTTGTGCCCTCTGTGGCTTTGGGGAAAGGTCAGGCAGTACCTGTCCCTGGAAGGTGTGGCGGGAGTACCTGGGCCTACACACTCGTCAGCGCTGCGGGCCTGCCTGGTAGGCGCCAGCCCCAGGTGCAAAGCCAGGGCAAGTCGGCGAGCTCGCAAGCTGAGGGGGACCTGTGCCTCTCCGGGCTGGGGCTCCCCCGTAGAGTCGCTCCGTCTAAGTGATTTGCATTCACCTTGGGTTCCCAAGGGCGCAGGAACTGCCGCGCCGCCGCGGTGAAAACAGCAGGGTGCCGCGGCGCTGCCGGCTGCGGGAGAAGAGGTCCCAGGGAGCGCCCCTCCCCAGAGTGTGACAGGCGCCGAGCAGGTGTGGGGGGCGGGGTGCAAGCGCGGGCGCATGTGCGCGCGAGTCCCTTGCCAGCTACGACGAGTTTCCCCACCCGGATCCGCGAGAGGAAAGAGCTGGATCCCCCTGGAGG